CCCCCGTGATCTGCACCTGCGGGAAGAGAGGCGGAGTCGGGGCGGGGCCAGGATCAGGGCTTGGACAGGGACCAGGCTCCAACACTGGGACCACAACACAAACTGGGACTGGGACCAGTGCCTGGCTCAGGACAAGAACTGGGACCAGGACTGAGAGCAGGGCTGAGACTGGGACCAGTTCCTGAATGAGGACTGGGACCAGGACCGGGACGGGGACAGGTACAGGGACCGGGATAAGGGCTGGGACTGGGCCCAGACTGGTCTCAGAACTGGGCCCAGTCCCTAACCCAGTCCCCCCCCACTCACCTCTTCCTCCTCCTCCTCCTCCTGCCCCTCCCCGGGGGGGGGCGCAGGGGGATCCCCCCCTCTCTGAGCCTCCCGTTCCCGCAGCAGCCGGTCGAGGCCGAAGCGGCGGCGGGCGCCCAGCACGAAGCTCTTCACCTGCGCCGCCGTCTTGTTCCCCAGCACCCCCGCCACCGCCGGGAAGTCACGGCCATAGCGCCGCAAGGCTGGCGAGGGCAGCAGGGTTAACGAGGGCAGCGGGGTTAACGAGGGCAGCGGGGTTAATTCTGGGGGGGACAGGACTCACCCTGCACCACCAGGAGCTGCTCGTCCGTCGTCCAGCGAGAGCTGAATTTGCCGTTGCCCTGAGGGAGGAGAAGGGGGGGTTGTGGGGTGATGCAGAGGGACACGGGGGAACACGTTAGGGGACGGCATGACGCTGTGGGGCACAGCAGGGACACGATGGGGCATGTGGGGATATCGTGGGGCACGGCCGGGACGCCTCGGGGACACCATGGGGCACATGGGGATACTGTGGGGCCCAAGGGACGCCGCGGGGCACAGGAGGATGCGATGGGGTACGTGGGGATATTGGGGACACCACGGAGGACGGAGGGACACCGTGACACATGCGGGGACACCGTGGGGCACGGCAGGATGCTATGGGGCACACGGGGACGCTGTGGGGCAGGGTAGGACACAACGGGGTGTGTGGAGACACCCCTCCCCACCCCAGTCCCCACCTCCGGTGGCCGCAGCCCCTCCACGCCACCCTCCAGTGCCTGCTTCAGGCCACTATTGATCTGCTTGATCCGTTGCACCTGCAGGGGCGAGAATCACCCCAGAATTTGGAGGAGGGGCAGCCCCACAACCTAGAGGAGCACCCCATAGATTTTGGGGGGGGACAACAGGGTTTTTGGGGTTTTGTTTTGGTTTGTTTTTTTTTACCTGCCGTTTGAGGGATACCAGCTGACAATCCAGCTGCCGCAGAGCCAGAGCCCCCAGGTCAGGGTTGGCGGTGACGCCGGCAACGTCCTCCCGGCTGAGGTGCATCCCCCGGGGGGGGCGGCGGCGGTGCCGGGCTG